TGGGTATTTTATTTTTGTCATTGTGAAGTATCATCATTCTTTTAAATTCTTCCTGTATCTAATAATTACTCATATCTTTCTAATCCTCTTGATGAAATTTTCCATCTGTCCACCCTGTTGTAGTGCTGTAGGATAAGCACTGAACTGCTAACCACAAGGTTTGCATTTCAAAACCATTAGCCATTCCTCCGAAACCCTATACAACATCTCTATGATGTTGTATGGCACTTAACAACATCCAGTCCTCAGATGATATCTTCCTTTCTTGTTTTGAGATACTCTGCAAACTATAATCTATTCCAATGAGATACTTGTTCAAGATGGGACTTGGCTTCTTGTTTTAGAGATTTAAGGTCATGGTTATGTGAGACAACACAATTAACTGACCTAATGTCATGTTCAATGTTTCTCTTCTATTTTCTATTTTTTTGTGTAATGACTAGAGCCTATAAAACTCTCAAACAGCCATTTGAGGAACAATTGATCTCTATTCTCCTGAGACAACTTAAAAAGGAAAGTCTGGAATGGGCACACAAAAAAAATGATATGTGTGTGACCAGTTGCCTCCATGAACAACTATCTCCATGGCCACGAGGCCAAAGTAACTGGAAGGTGCTTGGCTAACATTACTAAATATTTTGATGCAAGATTCTATAAAAGACTCTTGATCAAAATAGAGAAAATGCAGAACAATATTCAAAACATCATGGAAAGCAGACTTCCTGTATTCGTGGAGGCTGGATTAATCCTTGAAATTATATTCCTAAAATAATTATATTCCCTAAATAATTTTAAAAATCAAACTATAGTTTAGTTTCATTAGTAAAGTGTTTGTCTTGAGTATTGTGTTCTCTTATAAATCATATATATGGAATAAAATCAACAGAAGCAACATCTGAGAATTTGATAGGAAATCTCAATGAGGGAGAAATAATTCTGGAAAGGAAGCTGAATATTGCACAACTCAGTTGCACAATTGAGCAATGTAATTAATACCACTGAATTGTTTATATAGAAATTGATGAATTGCCGTATGTTCACCATTGTATATTCTCAACAAAAAAAAGTAGATTGTTTTCTAAAATGTTGATTAGAAGTATATTGCTTAAGGGTTACAGGCCTGTGTATTGCTTGAATGAAGAAGAACCCCAGCGGTGAGTTAAATTCCAGAACAATCAACCATACCAGATCAAAAGGGCAGCATTTGCCCAAAAAGAAAAGTTAGAAGGTTGGAAGGGAAAGGAAAGAAGATTAAATGGAAATGGGAAACCCAGGAAAAAAGTGGAAAGTATGCTATTACATTGAGGGGATTGCAATTAGTGTCATGCAACAAATTGTGTATAAAGTGTTGGATAGAAACCCAATTTGCTCTCTAATCTTTCACCAATTTTTTTTTTTTTTTTTTTGCTTAGACCCTAATTTTTCTATACGATGGCTGTTCTTGCTTGTTGTTAAGTGCCATCCATTTGGTTGTGACTCATAGCAACCCTGTATAGGATTTCCAAAGAGTGTTGGTGGGTTTAAATCACCAACCTTTCAGTTAGTAATTCAGTGCTTATCCTACAGCACCACACCAGGACTCCATAAAATGATACTGACCTTTATTTGATAACTTTATGCTGCTTTAAATTATTCCAATAAATAAATATCCTTGAAATACATTCCAAAAAATATTTTTTAATTAATTCCAACTATTGCATACATGTATAATCCTACATGGTGCTAAACTAATTGTTGAGTGTTAGGAGGGAAGGGAAGTTCATCCTAATAAGCATTTAGGTACAAATTCAATGCTTTCTTAAAAAACTTTTATTTCCTTGAGTTGCTCAATTTTATTTAAAAATGAGTAACAATTCTGTTTAAGTGCAAAAAACTACTAAAATAGATATCTGTTAGCTTTACTTTTTTTGTGTGTGAAAATTTTAGGTGGTCTAGTTTTGAAGTAGGGTGAGAAATGAAATTGAACAGTAGTCTTTAGATACAGGCATTTTGTGGTATTTCTTTATTTCAGTTTATTTCAGGGAGGAAGGAGTATGTTACAAGCACAGTGGGCTCACCATAGTTGATGTTAAGTTGTTAAGTGCCATGAAGTCAATTCTGACTTATGGTGACTCTGGATAGATATAGTTACCAAGGAGCAGATGGGGAGCTTGAACCACCAACCTTGTGGATAGTAATCCATTCCTTATCTTGAAGCACCACTCAGAATCTAGGCATTTTATATACATTAGATTTAGCACAGAGATCCATAAAAGAAGAACCAGGTAGTTATCATAAATCTGGCCCGTCTGGCAACTAAGTAAAAGAGAAATTAAGAACTGGAAACACTAGTCCTCTGTGTTAAAGAAAGTAAAGCACAGGCAGACACAATTGTAGATTGTAATGAGAACTACATAGATAAGTGTAGAAAAATTAAAAATATCTTACCCAACTTACTCATTTAGCAAATGTGAAGATTTTTAATACTTACTCAGTGCTTACACTCATTAGGAAAATGCCATTTAATTTAGCAACTGGTGAAAAACATAGTGGTAGACTATTTTAAGTTGTATTGCTTATACAAATGGAAGGGAGAAAATGATATGGAGAAATGATTATTTACAAAAGTTCAATTAAATACTTAAGGTTCCATTTTAGGAGAGAATTAACACTGTAGTAGGTATGGTGCCATAAGATAAGCACTTGACTTCATGGTCAATTTGAATCATAGGTCATCGGTTCGAACTCACCAGCCGCTCCTTGGAAACCCTTTACATGGTCGCTAAGAGTTGGAACCGACTTAATGGCACTTAACAACAAGCAACAACAAAGGACACTTTGAATCTACTTCTTGATATTAGATTGATAAAACTTTTCAACTTAATATTTCATATTTAAAGAACTCCATTACCTTCATATTTCCATTATTAAAAGTTTCAATATTTTTGTTTCAATATTTTTGAGAAAATGCAATTAAATGAGAGCTGCATGTTTGATGTTGAATAGAAGTATTTTTATTTTAAATTTTTACATCTTAAGAAATTTGGGCAAAATACAAGATTTCTCCTATGCCACCCTATCTAAAACAACTCTGTCTCCCATCGGTATAGTACTACCTCTTTATCTAGAGTTTGATTTCTCTTCATGGGAACACTGCACTATTATTAATAAATTCATTTGTTTTTGTCTATAACCCCACTAAAATATAAGTTCCATTTGGACACTTTGTTTAACTTGTTTAAGAGCAGTGAATAGTAAGAAAGCAGAATGTGATCTATAGTTGTTGAGTGCCATCAAGTTGGTTTATAATGATCCAGTATAGAGTTTCAGAGAAGCAGCTGGGGGGTTACATCACTGTTGTTGTTGTTGTTAAGTGCCGTGGAGTCGATTCCGCCCCACAGTGACCCTGTGCAGGATTACCAAGGAACAGCTGGTGAGCTTGAACCACCAACTTTGCAGTTAAACCATGGAGAAACAGTCAATTATTGTTAAGTGAAAGATGGACCAATATGTAATGCATTTTTGTTCACCAACTTGATCAACTGTCCTCTGTGATCCAGGCAGGAAGAAAAAAAAAAAAAACATTGAGGAAAGACTGAAATGAGGGCTTCTTCGGCAGAAAGAAGTCTCAAATTTTCAAATTTCTAGTTTACAAATGCTTAGGAAGATTTCCAAAGTTGTTTTCAATTACAAGTCCTTTATAAAAGTAGGGCTATATACTCGACTCGACAGCACTTAACAACAACAACAACAACAACATATATGATTTGGAGTCCTGGTATGGTGTTGTGGGTTAATGAGCTGGATTGCGATGCTGGTGTGAACTGCAAAGGTTGAGGGTTCATGCTCACCAGATGCTCCTTGGAAACCCTATACAGGGTCCCTGTGGGTTGGAACTGACTCAATGACACTTAACAACAATAAATATATGATTTTATCACTTTGCTTGTTTCTTAATATATTTTATATCACTGTGGAATAAGCACTGGACTGTTAAAAGCAAGGTTGGCAGTTCAAACTCATGAGATGCTCCTCAGAGAACCTATACAGGGTCGCTATAGCAAGTAACAATACCGGATTCTTCTTGGAGTCCTGATGTCGCGCTGTAGGATAAGCACTGTACTGCTTACTGCAAAGTTGACAGTTTAAAATCCACAGTGGCTCCTCCCTCAGAAGGGCTATAAAGGGTCACTAAGAGTTGGAACTGACTCAGTGGCACTAAATAACAATAACATAGTCTGTTTTATATTACATTTTTATAGCAATGTATGAAAAAAACAGTGTAACATGCATACGAAAATACCTTGAGGGAGGACACAGTTTTGGAAAAAAAAAAAAAAAGTGTATTATTTGTGTACAATATGGTACGCTCTCACAAACTGTACCTTTTATTTACATGTTGTTATTATAAAGGAGCTCTGGTAGCATATGGTTACGAATCGGGCTGAGAACCGCAAGGTCAGCAGTTCGAAACTACCAGCTGCTCCGCGGAAGAAAGATGAGACTTTCTGCTCCCGTAAAGATTTACAGCCTCGGAAACCATATTCAGGGTCGCTATAGGTCGGAACCGACTCGACGGCACTTAACAACAACAACATTATAAATGTCATTCTCTCTCCCTAGATGCATTTTTCCCTCTGCCCTAGCTCTCTATTCAGATAGGGTACTCCTGTGGGTAGAGATAATCAGACCTTTCTAGGCAAAGCATAGGGTTATATATGTATATAATTGTTAAGTGCCAATGAGTCAGTTCCAACCCATAGCGACTCTGTATAGGGTTTCCTAAGAGTGGCTGGTGAGCTTGAACTACTGACCTTGTAGTTCAAACAGACATTGCAGCCCAGCTCCTTAACCCCCAGCACCACACCAGAATTCCATATATATTTTTTCCCAGTATTATTATAGAAAGAAATTGCCAGATTTCTAAATTTGCTAATTGCTATTTCATTATTTAGAATTACAAAGAGTCTTCTTATATAAAGTACATAATAATTTGTCTAAAACAATAACTTTTCTTCTAGATAACTCCTGTTCCGGGCACTCATCCACTTTTAGTTTTTGTGAACCCCAAAAGTGGTGGGAAGCAAGGAGAACGGTATGTTTCTAAAAATAATATTTGTTTTCTGTCATACATGTATAAAAAAATTAACATTCTAATACTAAACCAATTATAAACCTTAATCCTAACTTATTTTAATTTGAAATAAGGGATGCCAGCATCTGTATTTAATGCTGTGATAGGATTTCTTCCTGTTTTCATATTTCATGTGACAATATAATATTTGATTTTTGTAAATATATATTTACATAAAAGCTCAGGTATCTAAACTCTTTTTTTGCCATATCTAACCCCAAGCCCTTAACAAAGACTTTTCACACCACATGCCTCCATGAATAGTGATCAATTAAATTTTGTTCTCTTTATGGTCAACAAGACTTCAGTTCAGTCATAGCTCAATACTGGAAAATTGAATTTATAACTATCTTCTATACAAAATATGAAGGTGAGTCAAGAAATACTACTATAAAATTATACAAGTCTTTATAAAACACAAATATTGAAATGTGAAATTATTTTGCCTTAACATATCCTACATCTAGGTCTACATACGTCTATAGGATGTATTACCTTCTTTCTAACCCTTCCCTGAAAAATTATACATTCTTCAGCTTGCATTACATCAAAACAGCAGTTTTGCAATCCTCCAGGGTTTTAAATTGTGCCTCTTTCAAAGTTCTCTGAGTTTGGGGAACAAAATAAATCTGAAGGGGCAAAATAAATAATTTCAAAAGAAGGATAGCAGATATTCTAAATATCTATGCATATTTAGAATTCAAAGAAGATTATTCCATTTTTCAGCCATATTGTCTTCATAAGGATTAGTAAGACCCCCTTCCCTTTTAAAGAACCATAAATTCCTAGTAAACATATAAGTCTACCCTGGATAATTTAAAATTCATCAAATGTATTTAGTTTAAAAACTTTAAGCGATTTTATTTATTTAAAACATATTTACTGTCACCACATTTCTAGTTACTTTTTTTCCTTCTCCATTTTCACTTACCTAGAATATACAGAAAATTCCAGTACCTCCTAAATCCTCGCCAGGTGTACAGCCTTGCTGCACATGGGCCAATGCCAGGGTAAGTCCAAGTGTAATACCATTGCTATTAACTCATTTAATATACCTAGAAATATTGTAATTTGAATGCAGCAGCCAGATTATGAAAAAAATTGCATAGCAACTACATAAGTGAAAATAATGCAGATACTATGTTTTTTTCAAAATACTTAATAATCTATTTCAAGCAGATAATTCTACCTTCTAAATGTGAAGGAAATAATAACAATGATACATGTACAATAGCCTACTGATTAAACTTCTGAAACATTGAAAAACTACTCTACTTTCTTTTAGTTGCCAAATGTAGAATCTGGAACTGCCACACTGTAAAGAGAAAGCAGTTTACAGAGTTGGAGTCATAAAATGACATTTTCATTTAGTGTCTATAAACTTTAATGAGTATAATTCTCTTAAAATATACTTAATTACTAATAGGTAAGATGCAGTGAAATGAAATCATCTTTTCAACAAAAAACTGTGTACCCAAAATAAGTCACAAATATGCATGGAAATAAATCATTAATTTGGCCTATTTAACTAATTAATGTCATCTTTTTTTCACTGCTCTGTTTTCTTCTAACATACAAGTAAACATCAGGCTAAATGAGGTAAAGAGAAGCTCTATTAGCTTTATACAAGTTTCTTAAAAAAAAAATCAGTATTATTAAAATAAATCTGGTTTGTTCTCAGAAAGTATAAAACAAGTGCTGATTTACAATTTTATGTATCCTTTTGAAAGCTCAAAATAAATTTTATATCATTGTACCCTATGCTAAATAAATTCAAATAAGATGCAATTAATTATCCATCACTTCCTTCCAATTGTTGTTACCTTCTCTCAAGAGCATGTTTCCAAATGCTAAACAACCTGTGGAACTCACATTACAGAGTAGGTTACTTACCTACCCTTATTGTTGAAAGTCAGTTCACCATGAGAAGATGCTTCCTGTCATGGCCTTTTAGAGTGAAGTCTCTATCCTTAGGTGCCACTGTCTAGAGCATCTTAAGCTAATATATGCCAATCAGACAATCAGCTAGGTGAGTCACATGCAGGAAACCCAATCTAGATAAAGCTAAATTAAAGTTTTGACATTAACTCAGGATGTATGTTTTTCTTGTCATTTGATACTCATCTCTTTTTTAAAAAAAAAGGAAATCCCAATCTGTACCTTCAATAGAGGTAGTGGCTTTCTTTTTCTGTAGCATGAGGGAATCTTGCATTGAAAAGATTAGCCATTCAAAGATCCCTGGAGGTCCTTCCAAAACCAAGTAAATACAGGATTTACCTGTATTTTGTGGTTAAGTTGAATACTCATTTTTTGAAGAATCTCCTTTAACTGGTGCTACCTTCAGTCATTTTTAACTTTATCCCATATGATATGTGAAAATTTATCCTTGTCATTTTCAATTGCTTGAATCTGATAAATCATAAATTTCAACATAGTAACAATGAGATTTACTTTTCTAAAATAAACAGAAATGGACTCTAATTATTCAAAATTAACTGTATTGAAGAAATATAAGATTGATTTTAATTCTTCAAAATGAACTGTATGAGGAAATAGGAGATGCCATACAGAATTAAGAGGGAAAATAAGCTATATTTCAGAAAAACAACAGCAGTCAGTACAATGTGAGGAAAGAAGCACTAAAGAATAAACTTGGAAGTTATTGATGAGAATTTATTCCAGTTGTGTTTAGTACACACATTTCTGTAACAAGAATCAAATCCTAGAAAGATGCATATGTACTGTCTGTCTTATTCTCATGCCACACCCTTGCCAATTTTGACATGGGACATCTTTACAGAAAAAAGTGGTCAATGGTTTGTTTCCTCAAAGGCACATAAGTAACCTGAGCATGAAATAATGAATCATGGGTAATAAAACAACTGGGGTCCACCACAGTCCACCCATTGGACTGTCCAATATCCCTTCCTTCCTGAAAACTTTATACTGAAAAACCATAGCACATTGTTAGTATTAAGCATATAACAAAAATACAGTTACATACTTCTAAAATGTACAAAAGTCCCATATGATTACCAAATCAAACTTCAAGTTCTGTTCTCAAGAATACTGCTGGGAAGAAACTATTTTCTCTTCTATCTCTTTGTCTATTGGATTTCAATTGCAGAAATATAAGGAGAAAATTATACATGTGACTATAAATATAAATTCAATTAATATTATTTTTATTAACAAAGAATGAAATATATACAAAAAGATTGATGCTGGTTTTTTAAAGGGTTGAACGTTGTAGTTGTAATTTAAGTAATCTGGCCAGAAGTAATTATCCAGTGGAGTAACCTATGTCTTTTTAACTGGTAATTCTGGATTTTGATATTTTGTTTGTTTAGAGCTGGATTGGTTTTCCTTTGTTGAAGAGCATGAGACACATGGCTGTATTGGTGTTGCTTTCAAATATTTCCAAGTGTCCTCCCAAGCCCTTGATTGTATTGCACTTCCTTTTCACACTTGATGTTAAGACAGACCAGGAGAATTGCTTTTAAAGAATTGTGGGCAAAAGGATAAGTTCCACTTTCTTCTTTGTCATGGTGACCAGCAATATTCTAAATGATACTTTTATTTTTATGGATCACAGAATGAAAAAAAAAAGGAAAGAAATGCCTCCATCCTCACCTATTAGACCACACAGAAACAATGATTTAAAATGACCCTGTGAAGCAAGGGTACTAACATTTTGGTTTGCTTGTTACTAGATGTAATCTAGTTCAGAGTGATTGAGAAATACTCACTGATATATATCAGTTCCAGCCTTGTGGTTCAAATTCATCTTATGTTCTAGTACTTACTTTAACATGACACCGTCAAGTTGGTTCCAACTAATAGAGACCCTGTGTAGGGTTTCTGAGATGGCAAATCTTGGTTGGGGCAGAAAACCTCATGTTTCACAAGGAGCTCAAACCATTAACCTTGTGGTTTATAGTCTAGTGCTTATCCTATGGAACTACCACATCAATCCAGTGTGTATCCTACAATGCTCCCTATATATGTATGTATGTATGGAGTCCTAATGTGGCACCATGGGTTAACGCACTGGACTGCAAAGTCAGTTTGAACCACAAGGTTGGTGGTTCAAGATCACCAGCCACTCCTGGGAAATCCTATACAAGGTCACTATGGGTTGGAACCAACTCAACAGCATGCAACAGCATATATATATTGTGTGTATGTGTGTGTAGCTGTGCCACATGTGTGTGTGTGTGTGTATATAAGGTTGTTTGAGCTCCTTGTGAAAACATGAGGTTTTCTGCACCAACCAAGGTTTGCCGTCTCAGAAACCTACACAAGGTTGGTGGTTCAAGCTCACCAGCTGCTCCTTGGAAACCCTATACAGGGTCGCTATGTGTTGGAATCGACTAGACGGTACTTAACAACAATATATATATTTGTAGCTGTGCCACGTGTGTGTGTATATAGGGTTCCCCCATATATATAGATATAGATAGATAGATAGATAGATAGATAGATAGATAGATAGATAGATAGATGGTTTCCCACCAACCTTATGGTTCATACTAACTGTGCAGTTCAGCATATTAACCCACAGAAGTTCAGCATATTAGCCTACAGCATGTATATATATGTATGTTCTATGGTAATTGTGTGCTGTGGAGACAGTTCTGACCCATAATGACCCTGTATAGGGTTTCTGAAGCTATAAATCTTTCTGGGAGCAGAAAGCTTCATCTTTCTCCCACGGAACAGATGGCAGATTCACATTGCTGACCTTGAGATTAGCAGCCTGACTCGTAATCACTATGCTACTTGGTTATTATTGTTAAGTACCGTGGAGTGGGTTCCGACTCACAGTGACCCTGCACAGGGTTTCCAAGGCTTAAATCATTACGGGAGCAGAAACCCTCACCTTTCTCCCACGTAACAG